TAGACAAAGCCATTGAACAGAGTCTTGCTTGACTTTACAATGTCAAATAATCTGCATAAAAACGAATCCATTTATGCCTTGACTAAGACGTGCCTGAAATCCTACCGGTTGAACGTGCAGGCCACGAAGTGATCACCTCTGCGCCGATTGGCCAATTGGATTTGTATTTAACGGTGTCAGGTTTCGGGCAAGTTTTACTCCGACGAAACAATCGGTGAGTGCGCTTCAGTCCTTTCCATGCTTCTGCTCACAACAATCCTCAACCAAATTGCCACATCACCATTTGGCGATGCATTCACAGCATCCAACTAGGTGACAGATGTACAGTGGAGGTGTCATTCACTCTTCAATCAATGATGGAATTTCTTGCCTCAAATCTCTACTCACACCTCAGTTAGGCACGGAACTCGGCTTTTTGATTGCAGTCAAATGAATGGGCCGAGGTTTCTACTTCGAGTGATTTGAAAAGAGGACATCTTTCTCGATTCCTGATTTTAGAATACAACAAGTTTGATTATCAGAACGCGTGACGATTGGATGTACCTGTTAAATCACAGAATAATAGGATTATTTGCAGATCTGCATGTGAGAGGTGGGGGACGCTTCGGTGCCCTGTATTTGAGGTCTTTGAAATGAGGGTTTGCAAGTTGGCAAGTTAACTGGTTCGTATGCACACTGTTAGCCATTATTTGTGAGTTTTCATACACCACATTCATTTCTCAACACGTTCGTCACCGGAGTCGCACACCTGCAGCTTGGGCTTCTCAGTGTGCGTTAGACCGCACGACGTGAATGGGATGTTTCGGACTAAACCATCAGCATAAATTTAAAACAACTACTCTTTCTACAAATTTGGTACTAAAAGAGTTGATTAGTAGTTTCATGACTTTATTTCAATAGATCCATGAAGAAGCCAACTTGTGAAGGCTTTTGGAGGATCTGTCAGATCTTTTTTGCCGAAATGCTGGCCTCTGGTTTGGCGCACTTCTTCTGCTTCCTCGTAGACGTCTCTGTAGCCAATCTCACTATGGTGGCGGGTTTCCTAGCGGGTGCCTCAGTTTACCTCGCTATCTGGTGCACCTTCACCACCAGTGGGGCCCAAATTAATCCCATGGTCACCCTGGCAGTCGTTGTTACCCGACGTTTGTCACCACTGCTTGCCCTTGTCTACCTGGTGGCGGATTTTGTGGGTACTCTGACAGCCATGGGAATTGCGTGGGCCATCTCGCCTTTCAAGGATCAGGAGCCTGGCACCTATGGGATGACGCTTCCTGGGAGTGGTGTTAGCTCTCTTGTAGCTACTTTTACAGAGGCTCTGTCTACATTCATCCTCCTCATAGTCATCTTGGCCTCTTTGGATGAAGTACGTGCTAAGGAGTGGCGGCCGGAGCAGGGAGCTCCCTTCCCCCTCGCTGTCATGTTGGCTCTCACAATCAACGTGATGCTCACGGTAAGGCTTAAACTTAATTCATTGAAGAACTCAACTCCACTATTAAACAGCCCGAACCACTAATTGGGCGGATGCCATCATGAATTATACTTTAAAGAACAAATGTTTTTGTTGACGGAAGGCCGAGAGCACACTTAAATGTTGGGAAGCCTTCTGCTCTAGCTTGTGGTGTGCCTAAGACGCTCCTCTATGATAAGACTAAAAGTCGCCTGCGGATTTCATGGCGTTGCACTGTTTTGCATTCATAAATGTTAACCAAAGCCATTGAGTAATGCATTCTCAAGATCTACTGCATTCGTCAAGCGACAAGAAGTACATCCCTGCAGATAGCGTCACTTCATGTTTAAAAGATTTGCAAAGTAAAGTCTGCATTTCGCTGATTCTCTGTGAAGCAAACAATCAATCATAACTTTGCAAAGAAGTCGGTTTGCGTAGACAGAGCTTCAAGGATGGGGAGGAATGGTTGTATCAAATTCCTCCTCACTAATTCCTTGATTTACGCATGCTTTAGCTGCCAATATCTGGAGCCAGCATGAATCCCACAAGAAGTCTGGCTGCGGCAATCATCCAGAACAACTTCGACCGGCAGTGGGTGAGTAATTCAGCATTTCTAGTCTCTTAGGCTCTACCAATTCCGAGGAGCACACAAATCTTGCATTCGTAAAAGGGCAAGCAGGGTTACATCGGCTGAGACTAGTTTATAAGTGGCCTAAGGTTGGAAGCTCTGGCGACATAATGAGTCATAAAGTAATGCCTATCAAGTACATGAACTGGTCATGGGGGCCACCACTACTTTACTTCACCAGCCCATCTTTAACTCACCAAGCAGGGTCAAGTCAATGTGCTAATTTTTTTCAACAAACCAGCATGTGCTTCAGCCACCAATGTTCCACCTCTTATTTTGGATCGTTTGATGATAGTCCATTTTTACCAGTCTGCGTGCAGTGGTACGTTAAAATCTGCAATGGCTATGGAAAGTACCCTGTCACCATCATCCTACAAATCATCGTGAGAAAGTTGCCGTTTTAGAGGTGTTAAAATATAAAATAGGAGGAAATGCTACCACTTTTGTTCGACGTCCAATATGAGGTAGTACTAAGACAATTACAGGCCTCATTAAATTGCAACTGGAGAGCAGACAAGTGGCACCTAGTTCGAGAGGGGATTGATGCCACCAGAGGATAAGGTGGCATCGGAACTCCTGCAATCAGGTTTTACAATGGCATTACTTAAGTCTGCCTTCTCTTAGATTTACGTTGCCGGCCCGGTACTGGGGACATTGGTGGCTTGTGTCTTCTACGAGTTTGTGATTTGTCCCTTTGCGTCTCTCAATCGAACACGACACTGTCTTTGCTCCTCAAGCTTCGACCGAAAGGAGCGATATGCCTCAGAAGAGGTGGATGCCTAGCACAGACTCGCACCCTCTTTCTCTCTATTTGGCCTTCTCAAGGCTGGTGAAGTGTATAATTCTCTGTTCTAATAAACAAGAGTTAAATTACAGTGACAGGAGCTTTTTTAGGTAGGCAAAAGGAAACAGTTCAATATCAATGTATGGTCACCCCTACTACCTCATTCACTGTATTTATTGTGTTTGATAACTGAAGTAGACGTTGCTAAGCAGGTTGGAGCAACATAGCTTCCCCCTTGCTATGGGACAACCTAACACTGATGCAGTGCCTCAGTTGTCCGCGTGATCCCTTGTTTTGGTGGAGAGTCACTTGAGGACCCCCT